TAAAATCTTATAAGCGTACTAACAATTTTAAACTTTTCAAAGATCATTCAATTTATTTAAGAACAGGATTTTAAAGTAACTTAATTAAACTTGTAAGAATGAACTACGGTAGTTAATTATCAAAAAACTAACTTTATGTACTAAACCATGAATTTTATGTATTAAACCATAAATGTTAATGTTGCGACTTATTTGGCTTTCGATTAATACTTAACAAACAAAAGCTCTGATATATATTTTTTTAATTTGAAACCAAGCATTTTTTGGGGGCTATTTTTTCCTGGGGGATTTTTTTTTCGGGAGAAATTTTCCTCGGGGGATTATTTCGGGGGATTTTTTCCAGGAATGTTTTTTCTTAAAACCTATTTTTTTAGTTCAAAAAATTTAAATTAATGCAGAAAATATAATACGCCTCAATTAAAAAGTGTGTTTGTTTGTTTACCTATACTTATTTATAGTGATGCATTACTATACAATTGACGTTTCCCCTTATTGCAATGCATTATGGTATTTGTATGTATACGGAAATAAACAACAAAAATTAGTTTAGTAAAGTGTCAAATATTGAAGGAACTGAGATTGTCCCTAAAGACTTAAATTCATTTTATTCCACAACTTTTAATTCGTTTAGTTTAAATATTAAAAGCTATGTTGTTGGAGTAAACCTTGCTAGCAGTAGCACTATATTAGACTTCGAAGAAAGTATAACAACAAATACACCAAACGTTGTTCAACTAAAAAAAAAAAAAAAAAGAAACGGTGGTTTTACATGTTGTGTACCTAAATGCTTTAGTAACTCAGTAAAACATAAAAATCTATCATTTTATGCATTTCCCAACAAGGACAAAAACCTTAGAAAGATATGGCTTCATAAAATAAGTAGAAGAGAATTTAAACCAACTTTAACTCACAGGGTATGTTCTAAACATTTTGAGGGTGGAAAGAAAACTTACACGAAAAAAATACCATTTATCCTACCTAAAACTGTTAAACCTTATGTGGAAAAAGTGAGAGATACTTATAATAGTAAAGGATTGAGAAAGGCTCTTCCACTAAAACAATTATTTTCAGGGAAGAAGATAAACTAGGAGAAGAAGTGGCTTCCTTAAAAGTTAAAACAATTGAACTTGAAAAAAAAATCGAAGTCAAAAACCAAGAGCATTGCATTGAAATAAATTCTTTGCAAAAGGTAATTTCAGATATTAGCTTTACAATTGATTGATTTAAGCACAACACTGTACATTTCAAGTTTTATACAGGGTTTGAAACCTATTAACTATTTAAAGTTGTGTTTGAATATTTTCAGCCTACAGCTAGTTCTCTAATATATTATGGCTAAAACACAACAGCGGATAAAAAAACAGAATCAGAAGTAAAAAAGAGAGGACGAAAAAGAACCTTAACACCTGAGGAAGAGTTTTTATGGTCCTAATTTGTTTGAAATGTGCATTTCCTATTGAAGATCTAGGGGTTCGTTTTAAGTTATCGACTAGTCATGTTAGCCGAATATTAATAACGTTGATTTTTTGCATTCACAACTAAGAGCATTGCCTATATGGGCATCTAGAAAAACTGTAGATGATACCATGCCTAGTTGTTTTAAAAAACTTTACCCCTCAACAAGATTTGTAATAGAATGTACAGAGATTTTTATAGAAATGCTACGTCTTATAGAAGTCAATCAGCTTTATTTTCATCATATAAACACCACAACACCGCAAAAAGATTAGTTGGAATTTTACCAGCAGGTGCTGTTACATTTGTGTCAGATTTATATACTGGTAGGTCTACCGATTACAAAATTACAAAACATTCTAATTTAATGTCCCGTGTAGAACCAGGTGACTCTATTATGGCTGATCGCGGTTTCGAAATTGATGACCTCTTGCCTGAAAATGTTTCCCTTAACATACCCCCTTTCTTAATGGAAAACCTCAACTATCACACCCAGAAGAAGTTGAAACTAGCAGGATTGCTTTTCTTAGGGTACACGTAGAGCAAGCTATAGCAAGAATAAAAAAATATAGACTATTGCAAACAGTTTTCCCTATCACAATGGCTGCTCAACTTAATAAAATTTGGGTAATAAGTTGCTACCTAGTCAACTTTTTGCCACGACTTAATGCTGACAAAGAAATTATTGAAGAATAAATTAAAATATTGATTTCTCATAATTATTTTTTAATATTTATATACTTTCAAATATTTTTTTAGTCATAAACTGAAAATAAAATGTATTTAAACATGGTTAAATCTTGTTGAACCAGTTTTCATGTTCAAATTTAATTGATTGCACAAAAAAGTCTTCATTTGTGTAAAGAATAAAATCTATTTCGTTTGTTTCTGTTATAACCATTATACCTTGACATTGGTAAAAGTAACAGTGTTTGATTTTGAGTTTTGGCTGATCATTTACAAATTCCATACAAAAGGTTTTATCGCTACAAGCTTCGCGAACAGAAAGATGTCTTTTCGAAAAAGGGCACTTTGTTTCAATCATTTTGTAGCTGTCATTATTAATACACAATCAATCAGGGCTACAACCTAGCCATGGCCATTTAGGGTTTATAACGAGGCCACATTTTATAATATTACAGTTATATTTTTATTTATACTTTTCAAGAGCGATATCTTCATTCTCATTACCCCAACGACAGGCTTGAGATTGCAAACTACTATCACGGTTACTTATAAGCTTTTTTAACAAAGAAGTTGGATAAATATTTTTTCTACGGTTTACAACTGTACCAAAATTTGATGCCTTAAGTCTCTTTTTTCTTTCTTCAAACCATTTTTTGTTTTTTGATTGATCTACAGTTTCTGATTCAATTTGAATCATTTTTGTAACATCGATTGGTAAGCGATTTTTGACAAAGCTATAATTTTCCTCAGTCTAATAAATTTCAAGTGAATGGTCCAGACGACGTAGAAATTTATCCATTATAACTACCCTTTCATTTTTAACATATTTTTCATTTTCAGGGGCTAGCTCGTTAATGAATGTCTCATAAAAGTTACTCTGTTCAAAATTATTTCCAATAATTAACTCAGCCATTGTCACTCCTTGGTTTAATTTAATAAGGTTTTCAGTAAATTTTTGCAGTTTTTCAAGTATTATATTTTTTCCATACAATGGTGTAGTACAAAATCTTAGCTTTCCAATAACAAGAGGACGACATCGTAAATTATTAATATCTTTGTTAGCATCTATTTTATGTTTAGTAGCTCTTTGTTCTAAATTATCGACTGCTACTGTCACTGATATCATATAGGTAATAATATGTTGATGCGTTATCGGAGGAATAAATGTTATGTCTCTTGACCATTCAGTTACTTCTTTAGAGATTATTTCGTTATCATCACTATTAAATTCTTCGTTAGTAATTATACGAAATGTTGCATGCAGTGGAACCGTGCTAGAGCTTTTAAAAAAGGCAGAACCAACAGAAATATTTTCAGTGTTCATTTTTTTATATTCTTTTAACTTTTAATACTTCAAACAAAAACAAAACTATTACTTTTATGAGAAATATCACCTACGATTTATATAAGTTTAAATACGATTTATCAAAGTTTATAATTTTCGGTGCATACAAATGCCACGATGCATTGCGTGAAAAAAATAATAAGGGGAAAGGTCAATTTATTTTGTTGCGGAAATTTGCGCTATTTTAAAATATAACGTTGTTTAAGTATAACTATTAATTTGTATTCGTTAAGTATAACTCTGATTTACAAATTTTATGGAAAGTTTTTTTAAAATAGCAATTCTCTAATACCGATTTTTGCATTTAACTGATGGATTCTTGCACAAATCTGGTGGGTTTTTTTATTTAATCTGGCGGTTTTTTTTCATCTAGACTGGTGATTTTTCTTTATTATGCTAAATAGTTTTTTTTTTTTATTGCTTCATTTAATTTAACTTCCTTATATACACATTCAGCCCGTTTTCTCTTCAATTTTTTAGAATTCTAAAATGAATAACGCACGAAGACAATGCTCAGAAATTAATGTTAAAGTAAGAAATTTGATTATTCTTGTAATTAACGAATGTTGAAGTAAGAAATTTGATTATTCTTGTAGTTAACGAAGGGAAAAGTGTAAAAGAAGTATCGGATCTCGTGCATAGAAGTGAGACTTCAGTACGACGCCTGGTCGTATTGAAGTCTCACTTTATTATTATATTGATTAAGATGAGCAAAAAAAGTGAGCAATTGCACATATAAATATGCTATAGTAGATATATATACTATCATAACTTCTATTAACTTTTTTAATAAAAAAAGTCAATTTAATTTATATCATCATGTTTTATTCCTAAAAATAAAAAGTTAACCATATATATATATAAAATTAAAATAAAAAAACTACATATATATATATATATATATATATATATATATATATATATATATATATATATATATATATATATATATATATATATATATATATATATATATATATTAGGGTACCAACTTTTTGAAATAAAAATTGTAAAACCAGTAAATCGGTAAATTACCGACAAACTTTATATATCAATAAATTAATACAATTTTATAACACCATTTTTATTAAATGTCATTTTTCAAAAACTAGCTTCGTAGAAAGCTTAAACTATCAAATGTCTTGTCTCCTAATCGATATCTAATTTTAGTACAAATTAGTCCAGCTCCTGAAAATAATATTTCAGGTTCAACACTTGTTGGACGAAATTTTTTTAAAAAGCTATATAACGCAACCCCAACCATATTGAATTTATTTAAAAAGCTGCGTATACAGCACAACCCTAACTTTGTTAAATTGTTTAAAAAGCTGTGTGTACGACAAAATGTACTTATAATGAATCTTTTTTAAAAGACATGTAATTTCTAATATTTTTAACTTTTAAAATTTTTAACATCCATTTTTGAAACATAATTTTTAAAATTTTTAATTTTTTTTATCCTTTTTTTATTATCTGTTATAGTAGTGTGTGTTATTTAAACAAATCAACTTACATTGGTTTGCATATTTTAGTCTTGTGTTGTTTTTGATTTGATCCTCTGAGTACTTTGTATTACATCCAATTTCATCTCGCCAATTTCCACAATCATTATCAGAGTCACATGTATAGGAATGTTTTGCACATGTTCTTCCGTTATTGCATTGAAATTCTTTACATGGGTTCGGACAATTGCTTAAATCACCGCCACACTCATAAGTATAACTTCCGCTTCTAGGAATGCATGTACACACTTGATATTCTCTAGGGAAAAAAAAAGTTAAAAGATGATACGGAAAATAAAAGTACCTTTTCCATATAAATTTACTTAAGAAACTTTATACGCTTCACACACATATAAATTTACTTAAGAAACTATATACACTTCACACACATATAGACAGAAATTCTTTGAATAAATCATAAAGAAGAAAACAAATTTTTTAAAACTTTTTGTAGTATGGCTTGTATTTGGAAAACAAAAATATGCGTTACTTTTACTCTGCGTAAACCAAATAATAGCAAGCACCATAGCTTTATTAAAGGTAACTAAAATAATCGCAATAAAAAATAAAAACACCAGAGAAATACAAACATATTAATTACATCATAAAAGTTTATACCTAATTGAAACTTCGCATATTGCAGCATCCACTCCACTCCAACCAACATCGTGAGCAATTTCCAACCTCTCTTCATAACTACATTTTGTTTTACCACAGCACTCACTTCTTATTTGATCTGACGGACTCGCTCGTTTGTTTTTTAAGAAGGATAAAGCGTTATGTGGTTTCAATAGTACGTTTGATAAAGACTAAAAAAAAAAACACAAAAAACACTCCCAAAAATTATATTTTTTCATAAAATTAATATACAAGAAAAAATATTGGTGTTTAATTATTATTATTATTTTTATTATTATTATTATTATATATTGTGCATTGTTTCGCACTTCATTTTTATTTTAATATTTTAAATAATATTATGTTTTAAACAAAATAAAAAGTATAGTGTAAAATCTCGGTAGAAGACAAAAAATACACAAAAGTTTATCTAATTATCGTTAAATAATAAACTGATAATGCATTATAATAATCATCAGTTTTATTGTTTGTGCTTTTAATTACATAAAAATTAAGATTGTTCTTTAAGTTGTTAAGTTGCTCTTTGATATTTTAAGAACAACAAACATTTTATTACTTTAAATGTATTTTATTATTTATTGTATTTATTATTCTATTAAATGTATTTACAAGTTTAAATTTATAATAATATTTTGGAAATTATAAAGTACTGCAAAGCGGTAAAACACAAGCGTTCTGTGTGAACCATGATCTGTTATTGTGATCAATCATTGATGTAATTGTTAACTCACCGTTTTGAAAAGTTTAATCAAAAGAACGTTACTTTTTAATGTACATTTAGTTTGCCATTTGCTGATAGTATGCATATATCTTCAGTTTTTCTCTTTTGATTTTATCTCTTTTGCATTTTATCTCTTTTCCATTTTATCTCTTTTGCATTTTATCTGTTTTGCATTTTATCTCTTTTGCATTTTATCTCTTTTGCATTTTATCTCTTTTATCTATTTTATCTCTTTAGCTCTGCGCAATTGAAGATATAATTTTTTTTTAATTAGTTAGGCTAGGTGCTCAAAGAAGTACTAACGGTCTTACCATAAAGTACCGCAAAATAAACTTTAACCAGGAAGTTCACGCCTCTTTTCTTTCCAATGATATATAAATGACCGAAGCCGGTATCAAACCGCAAACTTTTGTTTCTGAAGCCAGGACTTTAACCACTTCACTTCGGCTGCATAAACTGTTCAAAGAAAATGAGCTATGGTAATATTTAATAAATGTTTTCTTTAGAGTTAAATTCCACGATGCTCTGTGATAAGACCGTCTAACTTAGTATTTTACTTGACTCCCCAAAAAAAAGTAATAACACACTTTTGAGTACAAAATTAATAGAAATTTTTTTACTTTTGACGAAATGTTTTTTAATAACTTTGGTTTGAAGTTAAGTTAAAAAAACCAATGGCTTTTAGCAACCTCAAACCAAAACTCACCAATTTTTAATAGAGGAATTTGGAGATTTTTAAAAGATACCAAAAAGTCGTAATCTTAGCGTATACACTTAGGTTATAACTTTTTTTCTAATTTCTGTTTTCTTATTTAAATTTCTGTTTTCTTTTTCTAATTTTTGTTTTCTTTTTCTAACTTCTGTTTCCTTTTTCTTATTTATGTTTTCTTTTTCTAATTTCTGTTTTCTTTTTCTAATTTCTGTTTTCTTTTTCTAATTTCCGTTTTTTCTAATTTCTGTTTTCTTTTTCTAATTTCTATTTTTTCTAATTTTTGAACTTTTTTGTTAAGTTTATTACTTTTATCAAAAAAATTAAAAAATAAAGTTCATATTACAGCGGTTTATGAAGTTTATGACATAATTTTAAATTTTTTTTACCTTAGTTGCATCCTCCCAAGCTAATACGGATATTACTGACGTGAGAAGCAAAAGCTGCCAACTCATTGTGTGCCTAATTTCAAATGTATGCTATATGGTATTTAAGTTAACTTTTAAATTCCAATAACTTATTTTAAAGTTTCTTTAATGAAACCTTGTAAGTTCTTTTTTTTCGTTTACACACCTGCTAACTCTTTTTGATTTTATTGTTGCTTGTAGAAAGTAAAAAAAAGTCTGTAAATTTTGAATCTTCTCAAATTGTTTTTTTTTTAGTAATAATATAAAACTTTCTCGCATTAATTGTATATCTTATCAAACAAATGTCATTAGCCACTTTTATTTTTAATCAAACAAACCATTAAAGTCTTTATATTTTAAACGCTAAAACCTCATTCGTTTTCTCTTGCTATATTGTCTTTGACACTTGTTCGTCTATAAATCATTTGCAAACTAATCTGCAGATTTTGCTTAATGCATTAAAAACATTTAGCTGTAAACTTTAAAGAAAAAACTATTTTAACTTTTACAGGCATTACACTGATGTTGAGTTGTATTTTCTATGTTTTTTTTTGTTTTTTTCAATGTTCTTTTAAACACGCCCAACGATGATAAACTAAGTTGTATGTCAGATTGAAAAAAAAACAATTTAGTTTATAACAGACTAGAAAAATCTATTATAGAAAAATTGTTGAGAACTACCAAATTCAATTAACGTAATGTATGAATTAGAAGTTTTTGCTATGAAACTAGATCTAGTTCCATTGAACTCCTTCGTGTTTATAGCAAAGAGTATTTTTTTATTCCAACCGTATATATTTTATGTACCGTACTGTTACCGTGCATAACTTTTATAAAAAAATAAAATGTTGCTTGATGTCATGACCCAGAAAAATATTTTGGTGGGATGATTAAACTATCAATAGTGGTTACGGGGATGTAAGTTTGGTTCCACCGTCCGTGGAAGAAATTTCATTTTCAAACTTTGCGTAAAATTGTATTAAATACATAGTTGATAAGTAACTAACAAAGTTGGTTTTAAGATTTTTTATTTATCCCAAAAACATAATTATTCATAACAAAAATAACTATGCAGTAAGTTCACTAGAAAATAACAATTTTCTTCAATTCTGATAAAGTAAAGTTCCGATTCTAATTGTATTTTTTTTTTTTGAGAAATATGTCTAAACTAGAGGTCAAAGCCGCCGCTATTAGCGAGAAGCCGCCGCCACTTGTACCTACTTTTTACAGCCGCCACTTTGCGTTATTAGCAACTACTAAGCCGCCAATCGAACAATATATTCAGCCGCAGCCGATTTCAAAGTCACTATTGTTGGCTGAAAGAAAAAAAAGAAGAGTTTAAAAACTCAAAGTTCTCTTGTATAACTTAAAAGCAGCAAGTTATTTGGAGCATCTTTTTTTGTCTGTGCAGCTTTTTGATTTGCTATTTAAATTTTCTCTAAGATGAAATAGTAACGACACACTCCTCCTTTATATAAGTATAATCAACGTCCGCCACTTGTTTCATATTATAAATATTCTTGGCTTATAATGATTTTTTATCGCTCTAACATTTTTCAACTTAAATTAGCCGAGTTAAACACAAACAGAGTTTTACTATTACTTAGTAATGGTTCAAGAAGAATCTCAAATTTCACATAACAGTTCTTTAAAATACTTGAACATCAAACTGTGCAGCTCATTTAAAAAAACAACCATAGATTAATCATTAGTATGGAAATACTATGGTCAAATATTGACACAAAATTGTAAAGTTATCGACGATGAACATTATTATTGTAGCGAATGCAGTAGCTCTATAGCTAGTTCATCAAAATATGATATAAGTCGTGATCTTATCCTTTGGTTTTCTACAGGTCTACTACCATTCTCTCATGTTGATAATGAAGGGTTTAAAAAGTTTTTTGAAAAAAACATTGAGTTAAAACTTCCCACAGGTTCTGTTGTGAGCCAAGTAGCATTACCTGATATGTACAAATCTTTAAGGCGATCAGTATTGGAAAGTAAAAAATTAAAAAAAAATTTACCTTGGCTTGTTTGCCTTTAGAAAGTCATACAGATGAAAATTGTCATAATTTTATCAAAGACATTGTTCAAGAATTTTTTCCGAGGCGTTGTAGAGATATGAGGCTACATACTGTGCACGACGGTGCAGCGAATATGATGAAAACATCTAAACTTTTAGGCTCAAAGGATCCAAAACATTGTCTGGCTCATATCTTGCATTTAATATTGACATGTGATGGCTTAAATAGCTGTACTGAAACAAAATGTTTGTTAGAAAAATGCAGACAAATTGTAACCTGCCTGAACTTCAAGTCAACTTTACTTTTAGAGGAATCACATTGTGAAGTAGACATAAAATTGTACAACAATCTTCGAATCCTTGCTGAAGTGAAAGACATTGATGATTTAGAGCAGCAATTTCCCATTCAAATTTATGATGAAGCAAACATAATTGAAGCAAACAATTTAGATATTGCTTGTAAAGAAAAATTTGATGATAATTTCATAAAAAGACAATATAGAAGTCTGAAACAGCAAATATGCACAAGATGGAACAGTGCTCTCTTTATGATAGAATCTTTTAACCAATTATTAAATCCTGTAGAAATTTTACTCAAGAAATGTGGTAGACAAGACCTTTGTTTAGATAATGAAGAACAAGCCTTGATTTCAGAATTTGTTAAATTTTTAAAACCATTTGAATTATTAACCCATGTGGTCAGTGCTGGAAATTCGCTTTCTATTTTGCCATTAGTTAAGCACAAAATACTAAAACTACTTTCAATTAATTCTTGTGATTTGAATGAAATAAAAAAGCTAAAGGAATGTTGTTCTAAAAAAATTGACCAAAGACTTAAGTTATCAACTTTTGCAAAACTATTCTGTTTTTTAGATCCAGCCACAAAAATTTTATATACAAGAGATGAAATGAAGGAAAGTTTGTTGGAGAATGCATTAAACATAAAAGTGATTTTATTAAATTATTGAGTTCTTCAAGTATCATTTGTTTATTATTGATATCGGTATTTATTAAATTGATTTATCTGGTTTTAGTTATATCAGAGTCAGAAAATGATAAAGATTCAAAATCAGGTCCTAGTGCTAAGCAACAACTACTTCAAGAGATGAAGAAAAGTGTTACTACTGCAGACAAAAATTATCAAATTGATTCGGAAGTCGAGCAATTTATATCTCATATACCTACGACAGATGAAGAACTGGATTGTTTATTGTTTTAGCGAAATCATCATGCAAAGTATCCACACTTAGCAGTGCTTGCAAAAGAGTATTTTAGCATACCAACTTTGAGTGTATCAATGGAATCCATGTTTTCATTAACTGGATTGATTTTGAACTCAAGAAGAAACAATTTAAGTTCTTCCAATATGAAAATGACTATCTTTATTCATGACAATATCATTCATTTGATTTTTAACTTTAATTGAAAAAAAATAATTTAAACTTAAATTTGTTTTCTTTTTATCGAAAACGATACTAATTATAATTCAGAGCAAATTGCGTCGCAATATCAGCTAGTTGGCCGAGTTCCTCAGCTTTTAGCCACTTGCTAAAACTGTCAGCCAGCAAGTGATATGTTCTAAGCACGGCTTTAAACTCTAGTCTAAACTGATTTCATAAATTCCTAATCAATTTCTTACCTGTTTAAGTCTGTGATGCATCTTCGCAGTCTTTTTTAAAACTCTGGGTGGTTGCTTGGTCTTTTGCACCATTGCCAATGGGTACTGAAAAGATGATGGAGTGCTTTAAATTGCTTATTTTTTTCAGTATAGCTGTTATTGAGGGCATTGTCAAGACAAGCATGAACAACACCATTGAATTTTCTGTGTCAATAAAGTTTCAATAAAGGGAACAGCTGGAAAGAAGGAGTGCTTCTGGGCCAATCTCTCCAAAACATCAAATTTTTCCAAGGTTTCCTGCAATCATTTCCAGACAGTTGTTCACTATGAAATGGCTGCTGTTGAATATAAAGTAATGCTAGTTTTTCAGGAGCATGAGTCCAAATCTTTAAAAGAGCATAATTATTCCACTCTTAGCTTTACAATGTATTCATTAAATATGTTTCTAATTTCAATGTATTCATTAAATAGAACTTTCAAGTCTCTGCAGTGAATGATAAGTATATCTACCTGATTTGTGCCGTTGTTAGTCGCAAGTTTAATTCAAGTTTTGTAAAAATGACTTTCAATTTGTTTGCTCAGTTGTTCAAACTTGGAAATTCTTCTCAAAAATTCGTTTTAGATAAACTTGATTCATTATTAAAACCGGCTTTTTCACACCGAAATTTGATGACCCTGTGTTGCACATAAACAAGATTTTTTGCTGTCAGTTCTAGCTCTTCATTGAAAAGTCTTCTTGTTCTTAAAGATGAACGTAGGAAATTATTAAGAGAGATTTTACATTATTATACATTACATAGACTTAAAATGTAAAGCTAAAACTTTAAATATGTTACCTGTAAGAACTAAAATTACTATTCCCTCAGATATATTAAGGCAAAATTTTCTATGGGGTGAAGCTTGCTTGTTGGCAATGAATGATGCTGCAACTCTTTTAGCTGTCACAGAGTTGTTAAAACACAAGTTCTACTAAATTCTTTTACTAGGTAGACTTTGAGAAGTTTTGTAGCAGACCCTTGCCAAAAATTAATAAACATTGAGAACATTTTCTTTCGACTAAGTTCTGGTTGGCTTCAGGTTTCTGCATTGACTAAACTAGATGTGGAAAATTGCACTTTGCTTTGCTAACTGAGCAAATCAAACAATCGTAAACTGAATCTCTTGTAACAGGACAGACTTTGATAATGCAGAAGTTGAACGGATGTGGTTGGGTTTAATGCTTTTTCCTCAAGCCTCCAAAAGTTGAAGATGAAACGCTCATAAATTCCAATTGAGACTCTTGGATTAATAAATCCTTGTGGTTTTTGCTTGATTTGACATATTTTGTGTTAATTCAGATGCGAAATCTATGAAGAAACTAAAAATCTAGTTTTTTCTCAAAATTTTATCATAATGGTTTATAAAAAAGCAATTTCGCTTTTTTAAAATATTTTGGTACAGTTAACTCGCATATTCTTTTTTAATTTAAAAAAATGCAGCAAACGTTTTTTTACTTTCTTCCTAAGACAACTTATTTAACACCACCTATTAAAATTTATGAAGTGATTGAAAGTAAAAGTTATAAAAAATTTGAAAATGGGTTTTCTTTTACGGACGATGAAACCAGATTTAGGGACTTATTTCCCAATAATCACCTATGGTTGTATAATCATACCCCCAAAAGATTTTTTTGGGTCATGACGTCAAACAAATTCCAGTTTTTTACAACAGTATGTACATACGTTGCTATGCTCTTTACCGTAAATCATGAGGTATATTTGAAATATATAGTTAATGACTAAATAGCTTTAATTAAGCTAATTTTAGCTTTTCTAAAGTTTCATAAAAATAAATAATTAAATATGCTTTTCTTAAAATATTTTACAGCCGTAGCCATTGCCAATTTCATCAAGTAAAAAAAAAATATTTACTTACAATTGATTCTACAAAAAGTAAAATAAATGCACATGTTAAAACAAATTAGTGAATCAGAAAATTGCTTTTTATTATGTGTCCAAACTTAGAGAGGTTTCTTTTTGTTTGCTAAATCAAAGCATGGCTATCTTTGATTTGCAATACTGTTGAAAAAGAGAACTAACAAACATTTTTTTTGCAACGATGAAACTTTTGCGAAAACAGAAAGCAGCCATTCCTTTGAGCAGCCGCCTAAAGTATTTCTACATTAAACTTCTATTAAATATTGATTTTTTTTATTGATTTAAATATTTTACTTTGATTATGTTAACTAAAAACATTTTCTGAATGTTATGAAGCTCTAAGAAGACTAATTGGTTGTTTAACAAAGCAAAAGGGTTTTCGCCAAGGTTAGCCACCGATTGAATTAGAAAAAAGTTTTCTTCACAATTTTTTATGCATTATACTTTTCGGGTTTAATGTATTTCGACGATAATAAAAATTTACGAGATTAAGCTAATACAAATATATAAATACATGGCTGGGGAAAGAAAAATACAAATTCAGTCTTACCACTAAGTCCCTTAAAATAGTAGCGTCAAAAAAAAAAAAGAAAAAAAATATATACACAAAAGTGAATTGTATCCTAAAGTATATGAATACAAATAAAAAAAGGCTTTTAATGTAGTTTTTCTTTACTTGTTTTACATTTATAAATCTTTTGAACTTTTAAATAAATTTAAAAGGTTTGTAAATTTAAAACAAGTTGAACAAGTAAGGTAATCGGAGTTATTAAGACGCCAGAAGATGCTGATCTACTACAAAAAGATATCGATAATACAGCCCTATGGTGTAAAAAATGGCATCTAAAATTAAACTTAAAAAAATGCAAAGTCATGGAGTTTAACTGTAGTAAAACAAAGTCAAACGCAAAATTTTTTATATCATGATAGAGTGACCACGGACAACAACAAGAAATTGAATTAACCTCTTTAGAGAGAGATCTTGGCGTTTTGATTTCCAATGACCTTAAACAAAAAACTCAAGTCAAAGCAGCTGCTGCTAAAGCGAATCAAGTACTTGGTACCCTAAAAAGAACATTTAAAAGTAGAGGATTATCTTTCTGGAAGTCTCTTCATACTACCTACGTCCGCCCACACATTGAGTTTGCTACACAAGCTTGGTCACCCTATTTTAAAAAGGATATAAGAACTCTTGAGTGCATTTAAAAAAGAGAAACAAAAGTTATATCTGAAATAGCACAATTATCATACGATGTAAGACTCAAGAGACTATGTTTAACAGCACTTGAATTAAGAAGAACATGAGCTGATCTTATTCAATATTTTAAGTTTATCCGTGGTTTTGATCTCATCACTTGCCAAAATGAACCACTACTAGCTTGCTCACTTAGAATCGAAGGTCCAGTGGGAATAACCGGGGGCCATAGAGAAAGATTAATGTGTACTTTAGCGCCCGGATTTCCACAACAACAAAATTTCTTTACACATAGAGTTGTTGAAATATTGAACAACCTACCTCAGAGTGCAATAAACGCTAAAAGAATTAAAGATTTTAAGTCTACACTTTATCGTTATTTCGTTGAAAGTGGCATTAACTAATTATATGCGTGTTATTGGTTTTGTAAGATGGTCTGGATATAGTTCATGTGGTTAATAGCATCGACATACTATTAATTTCTAAATCGGGTCTGTTTAATGGAATCTGATAAATTCCTTTTTGGATAAAATTAATATACATTTTTTTAATTAACAAATTTTATGCATAATTTTATGTTAAGATAAATAATAAGTAAAAATGAAATAAACAAAATTGCATCAAAAACCTTTTGCATTTGTATTTACTCATTTGGATATATTACACTGTAATATTGCTGAAAATATTTTTCTTTCATTTTATTATTTAAGTATTTATTTAATTGTTTATTTTATTATGTTTCTTTCATTTTAATTCTTATTATGTTTCTTTCATTTTAATTCTTTGTATTGTCTCAAATTTATTTGAGACAAAACAAAGAATTTTTAAAGAATTTTTTTTGTAAAAGTTAAATTTATTTTTTAATCTATGTTGGCTAAAAAAAATTAGTTTGTTGCGTTGTACATGCCTGAGATGAAAATATTGTAACGGAACCAGAAGGACATATCCTTTCCCCCTAGATCCCTCACTGTTCTGTTGAGCACGTAAACGGAAACATGACGAATTGACGTCTATTGAGGTATCAGACTTTATTGCGAACGGAAAAATGGTTTCTGAGGTTATAATTTCAGGTCACAATAGATCAACTTGTAACTGAGATTAAAAGTTGAAGAAAAGTTTATGCTTCTCTTGTTTTGGATTTCTTGTCCAACTTTTAGATATGGATTCTGTTGTGATCACAGCGTGCGCTAAAGAACTTTTTTAAATTTACCTAAACGATAGAGACATTTATATTCTGAATAAAAAACTGCATTAAAAGAATTTTGTTTCCAATTCATTTGAAACTAATATTAGTGAACCAAAAAAAAACTCATCTCAATTTACTTCTATTTATTTAATCAAAAAAAAGTCTGAATCTATTCTCTATTGTCAATGTTGTTCTAAGGATGTTTCTCTCTGCTGCTGCTACAAACTGCAACGGAGAAAAAAAAATTTTAAACTTCAAAAAGGGTATTGAAAAAAAGGAAATTGCTACTATTCTAATAGAAGGCAAAAAAAAAAGCCCTTTCAGCACTAACATTTACTTGTTCGTTTTTGGACAAAGCAATAATTTTAATTAGCAATATATTAGCATATAAAAAAGCCGACTTCAAAAACGGATACTATTTTTTTCGGGGGGGTGGGGATCTGAAGAGACGACAACCGTTATTTCACTGGGGGCCCAGGATGACCTAAATACGGACCTGAAAGCATCGTGAATGAACACATTCAACGAAAAGGTTTCTTTCGTTTAACTTAATAACAATATTTTTTATGGTCAGAACGGACATAGAACTTCGGACCTTACAACTGATATATTTTAAAGAACTTCCTTTAAAATATAAAAGAAAAATACACAATAGAGGCAAGAACTCCGACAAGTATTTAACATTTTTTTAAATTGCTTTAGATATTTTTAAAACAGTTTAAAATAAAATTATAGTCCCTGTTTGAGACTGTCACTGATTGATCAATTAAAAATCTTTCAGAGCAGAATTTCAAAAATTATAAAAAAACTGATAAAAGTGTCAAGTGTTAAAATAACTTTCACGTGTTAAGGTTCATGTGTTACTTTTATTACAAAATACTCTCGTAACATAACTTGTTAACATAACAAAATACTCTATTGACATAATTTGTAGGTATAAGATAAATTTCTGTTTGAATATCATCATTTTTATTAATTCTTTCTATATGAGGATTACCAATACCATCATTCAAAACTAAATGACTAAAATCAGCTCCTGTTTATAGAAGTTGCAAATGTATTTGATAGTAGTATGCCTGAGTGTGACATTAACAGTGAAACATTGATTCTTTATATATTTCAAAAGGTCACTATACTGCAATATTTCATCAATACCAGGACTTTTTTAAAATTTAAAACATTTAATTTCTATAATTCCTATAATGGTATTATTGAGATCCTAAGTAAGACCATCACGAGTTGCACTTAATGAGAATAATGTTGATCAATCCAAATACCAATTGATTTATCCAAACAACAATTTTTGTTTTTATTAATACTTCATACTTTGCAAACGCTATTGCCTTTTGTTTAAGTCCATATATCATATCAACAGTTTTTACATTTTTAGGAAACCAAAGTTTATTTTTTAAATAGTTATAGCACTGTTGCAAAGAAAGCTCTATACTCTTCAATTTTCTGCATTTGATTGTAATGTTCTTGCAACCTGAAGCTAATATACGAAACCACCTTATGTTATATAAAACCACCTTGAGTTATACGAACCACCTTATGCTATATGAAACCACCTTATGTTGAACAAAACCACCTTATGTTATACAAAACCACCTTATGTTATATGAATCCACCTTATATTATACAAAACCACCTAATGTTATACAAAAACCACCTCATTTTATGCAAGACCACCTTATGTTATACAAAAATACCTTGCTTGAAAACAATTTTCATAATTAGATGTCTGAATAGTATATGGTATTTGAGAAAATAGTCTATTTTTAGGAAAAATAAATTTTTTTGTTATTCGATTATATGCTACGTATAATCGAATTGTTAAATTCGATTATACGTAGTTCAAAAGAATTAACAAGTGTTGTATAAATAGAAATGTCATTTTCATCAACTTTTAAATTTTCGTAAGAAACAGTAAAAAGAGTTTCCCACATTGATAACTCGTTGTTTTTAACACTGTGCGGTTGAGGAGATTGAACAAATTGGTTTACACTATTTTTGAAACAACATCTAGCATCCCATTCATACAAAGTTTTTGTTTGTTTGGTAGATTTATAAAATATTTTATTAAGTGGTTGTGGGTTTTGATTTCTTTTTTTACCCTTATTCTATTTGCATGGTAGTCAAGTTGGCTTATTAAATCAACTTCTCTACCACTCCTCTAATGGTTATGTAGTTAAGGCATATTAACTACTTAACTATTTAACATAATATAATAACAAAGCATAAAAAGTAAAAAGGCTTGAGTGAAAATCTACCAAGACTATTTGCTATGCAGTTGCATGTTGTTGTTTTTACATGACCACTGATAATGCTGATAGTGACAGTTAAAAATGATGTAAAAATGATGTACCAATAGGAATAGTACATCATTTTTACAAAAAATGATGTACCATCCATTGGTACATTATTTTTCATAAAATGTTGAACATGTGCACGTAAACAATAAATATCCTAGTAGAATCAACTCCATTTATATTATTAGAAGTTAAAAGTATGTTGTCTTGAATATTTTCAATGAAACAGCTGTGTAACAATGCCCATCCTTTCTTAAGAGGTTTTAAAGTTATAGTATCATTTAATTCGACATCTTAAATTGTTATTTTAAATTTGAATAAACTTGAAATTGATTCAACCATGTAACAATAAACATGATCATACTTTAACATAGGTGGTATAGTTTGAAAAGAAAATGTATGCTAACCAGCACTGGGTAAAGATAACTACGAATTCATGAAGAAATATTACATAGTTTTGCATAGTACCATTTACCAATACCCACTTTGTTGTCAACTGGAATTTCCATTTTCAAACACTAAAAAACCCTTTCTATTAATTCAGACCTTTTTCCTCCTTTTTTTTGTCCATGACACTCAAGCCATCGCTTTAATTCATCAACATTACATTGAGAAACATCTTTTTCTGAAAATTTTCCAGGAACATCTTTTTCCAACAAAAGAACCTCGTTCAAAGGTTAACATCTTTTGTTCTTTTATTACATGCTGTTTTGTTCTTTTATTACATGTAAAATAAGCATTTCGTTATAATATTTCAAATACAAATATATAATAATAAATTTATATATAAATATAATGGTCGTTATTAAAAAATAAAAGAACGCGGGGACTCGTAGAAGACCATACGGTCTTGTCGTCGAGTACCGCTAAGAAATGTTCGTGTTAAAATTTAAAAGATAATTACAAGGTTAAAAAATAAAAATAAGTTAACAAAAGTAAGAAACTTAAAATAATCCATAATAAATACAAAATTCGTTATATCTATTATATATGTAAATTATAGTTGTTAAGGATACACATATACTTTTTATAAGTTCATGTTTAAATAAATGGTAAAAATAAAGATCACAAAAAATGTCAGAAGTATATTGTTAAATCATCGATTGTAAAAATGAGTTCTTTAAGCTTTTGTTTAAAAGAAAAGTAGTTACTTTGATTAATAAAATCCTCAGTAAAATTTTTTAAAACTGTTTTGTTCCATAAGAATGGTCCGCGATAATCAATACAAAATTTAAAAAGATTTGTTTGGAAATTGGGCTGCTTAATAAAATTATTATTGCGTAAAATGTATTTATTTTTATCTTTTGATGAATACAAATTATGGAAAGAAATCGGGGATGAATTGATTTTACATTTAAACATAAAACAAAGAATATTAAAAATATTAATCTCATATATATTAAAAACTTTCATTTCAAATAAAAGAGGCTTGGCATGAGTATAACGGTCTTTAAAATATATAAGACGTGCTACATGCTTCTGCTGACAATAAAGAGGTTTAAGTTTGTTTTTATTTGCACCCAAGCAAAGTTTGCATAGTTTATGTGGCAATGAATAAATGAGTGATATAATTGTACTAAAGTTTGTTTATTTAAGACATTTCTCGCTTTGTACAATATTCCTATACTTTTTGAAATTTTACTTGATAAGTTTTTAATGTGATTTTTCCATGTAAGATTTTCATCTAAACAAACTCCTAGAAAATTAGTTACTGTTACTTTTTTAATTTGTATACTGTCAATAACAAGTGGAGGCATGTTAATTGGCAGTTTATGTTTTTTGGTAAGAGGATGGAAAAGAGTCCATTTTGTTTTATCAATGTTCAGAGATAGTTTGTTTGTCTTAAACCAGTCAGATATTTTGATTAACTCGATGTTCACGTTATGAAATAAAGTAGGAATGCTTTTGTGAGACATAAATAAATTAGTGTCATCAGCAAACATAATTGTTATTAAATTCGAGGCTTTGTATAGATCATTAATATAAATAAGGAAGAGAAGAGGTCCTAATATGGATCCTTGAGGAACTCCACATGTAATATTTAACAAATTTGATGAAAATGATTTATCAGCATAAACAAATTGTTTACGATTAGATAAATAACTTTTCAACCATTTAAAAACATTGCCTATTATACCATAATATTCTAATTTTTTAATAAGAATTTTATGATCAATTGTATCAAACGCTTTCGCTAAATCAATAAATATTCCCAATGTAAATTTAGAATTGTTAAATGAGTCAGAATACTTTTTGTAAGCTAAATAATTGCATGCTCTGTTGAATTATTTTTTTTGAATCCATATTGCATGTTATATAATAATTTGTTTGTTAAAATGTGATTGTATATTCTGTTATACTAAATTCTTTCTAAAGTTTTAGAAAAAACAGAGAGGATGGAAATTGGGCGATAGTGTTTTACATTAGTTTTTTCTCCTTCTTTAAATATAGGAATAATTTTTTCTATTTTTAAATCATCAGGAAAAACTCCCTGATTAATAGAGCATTTAAAAATTTGGAAAAGTATGTCTTTTAAAACTTCAAAACAGCTTATAATAATATTTCCGTTGACATCATCAGGACCAACAGCATCTGTTATTGCAATTGATAAAAGCAACTGAAGAAATTTATACACCATTCTAAATTGTGTCATTTCTGAGGCTTCAGTTCTCCAGTATTTATTTTTTTATTTTGTTTATGTTAATTTTTAATAATTATAACAAATTTTTTGTTTAAGGGATTTATAAGTAATAGTATTTCGTTTTCAAAGATGCTTTGAGGTAATTAATGTTTAACAACAAACTATGGTAATAAATAGATTTCCTTTCCTAGACCTCTTCTTATTCCAGCTATAGTTATCTTACACGTATACGATTTATATACTTTATTGAGTCAGCTTGTGATTTCACTTATATTTTTAGTTGCCTAATGCTTGTTTGTTTTGTGCTAGATATGGCTAATACATGATATGTCCTAATTAATGTTAAATTATAAATATATATATTTATATTTCCTAATAAATATACATATTTATATTTCTTTGGAAGTATATATGCTATAAATGATTATACCATTCAAATCTTTATTTTTACTCTACAAAAATAGTTTAAAACTGGATGAAAGCCCTAGAGAAGAAAAACGACACAAGTTAAAGCAGAATATTAACATGCAATCATGAGGGTAATGAGAAAATGCAATCATGGGCGTAGTGAGAAAACTGTTGACACAAAATATAACTATTGTCAAACTGTTTTGAATCAAATCATTGTTTAATAAAAAAAAATTTTTTACTTGAAAAAATTTCGGAATCCAAACCTGTATTTTAAACTGATTCATTATTGTACTATTATAACACAATTATTGCCTTTATAGCAAATTTAATATAAATAGTTCCTTCATTTTTTTTTTTTTTTTGTTAAATAAAAATTGCGACACAACAAAAAAATTAGTCTCAAATCTGCAAAAACCAATGGTATATAAGTTGTGGCAAATTTGTTTGTTGGAAGCTATATTGAAATTGGCAACAAAAAGAGCTACATTTATTTCAACAAAATGTAGTTTTATATGTAGTATCCACTTAGAAAAAAAAGATTAAAATTATGAAAATGCAAATAAACCTTGTTTAAAAGCTAATGCTGTACACCTATCTTTGATTTTCCGACGAAAATACATTATAAAAAATATCAAAAAATATATATTTCCAGTAATTTAACTGAAACATTTACTGTTGAGGAAAAAAAAGATACCTCTTTCATTTCCATCTTTTATCTGATAATCATATTTTTACTAGTGTAAAACATCAAAAGCTGAGAAGAAAAAAAAAATTAAGAACGAATACAATGATTGTTTTTAGGATAAAATACTAATTAAAAATCATATTTATATCAATAAAAACATGCCGAAAACTTAAAACGTGTTGCTGGGAGCCGTGGTTACATTCTATACACCCAGGAAACATTAACCAAATGTTTAAAAGAAGTAAGAAGTAGCAATTTAACATAAACATGTGCTTGCTTAACCTTTGAAATTCCTCTATCAACAATAAAGAATAAACTGAAAGGTATATGTAATAAAAAACCAGCCAGTCGCATAATATTTAGTTAAATTCAAAAAGAAATTTTGGCAAATTGTGTAAAAACTATGTCTTCTAGTATGAAGGAAGGCTTCAGAAAAACTGGATTATACACACACTTGATCAAAAACAGGTGCTAAAAAGACATCCTAATTGAACATTTTCAAATGAAGATGTTACTGTAGAAATAGGCTCTCTTGTCAGTGATTTATATTAATTACATCATCAATTGATGTAGTTAATATGCAATCAGCTATAAATATATATAAGACAAAGTAAAAAATGATTGTTGTAAAAAAAACAAGTTATCCACTCTTCAACAGCAAATAGTTACTTAAATAAATTTTTAGAAAAAAAATCTCTGCTTAACGCCGATTGTTATCAAAAGCAGCAATATTAACATCGTATTGAACAAGTAAGATCAAAACAATGATGACTTATTTTATATTATATTTATAAATTATATGGTTGTGTTAATATTTTCGATGTTTAAGTTGTGTTAGTATTTTCGATGTTTTAGTTAAATATATTATGCCTAATATATTTAACTAAAACATCAACAAAGTCTAATTTTAAATTAATTGAGCTAATTTCTGCATTGTTTTTAATACATTTTTATTTAAAGTCATCGCTTTCTTTGTACATCGTGATTTCGATCCCTTTTCAGAGTTGATTTCAAAAAACACATAAAAATAATGAAACCAAAATGATTTCAATTTCCCTAGGTATTTTCTGTGTTTATATTCATATTATTTTCTCTATTTAAGATTATATATATATATATTAATGTACGAGTTTTTAATTCTTTTTTTGAAAGTAAACTTTTAAAAGTAAAATGCATAATTAAAATGATAATAATTCAAAAACTAACTTTTACCAAATTTTACCACTTTACCAAAAATGACGAAATTACCACCAGAAAAAAGGTTGTTGATACTTGATTAGGATAAGAAAAATTGAAAACATAATAACAAGCAATGTAACCAAATGAAAATCTCCACTTCAACAACTAGCTCCACACTCTTTGCAAGTTGCTCTAATAAAGTTAAATCTATAGATAGCAGGGTTCTAATGATACTGGCTTTAATAAATTCCATCAATTACGCAAATTAACGACAATGTTTATTCTGCTGAAAATTTGATTAACTTTTATTTACGAGCATAGCTCAAATGTATCAGGATTAATAACTGTTTAAAAAAATGCAAAAAAATTCATCAAAGGACTAGACCAAGCTGTCAAGCCAAAGTGAAATAAGGAAAAGTTTAGGAAAAGAAAAAGGATAAAATAATTAAAAAAAAAATTGAACAGATGTTCAGAACAAAAATAAAGATACTATGGTAAAGCGTGTAGTAAAAAAAAATAATAATAATTTAGGCATTGCGCATGTAAAAGAAATGTAACAAAAACAAAACAGGACACATAAATAACCATAAATCTACATTAAATACAAATGCTTAACATACTTAAAATAAAAATACACATATATAGATATATCAGTATTTAAAATGAATAAATATAAATTCAATGGAGGTATAAGATAAAGAAAAAACATTATTGGTTTTGTGTAATCATAATTTATGTAGTGGTGGTAA